AGTAATCGTCCTCCATCACGTAGACCTGGAAATGTCGTTTTTAACATGGACATCTGGTCTAATGGAAAATTTTAGATAGAAGTAGTGAAGCCTGTTTTGGAGAGAGCAACACTCGGTGTCACTCTGTCCACCTCCAGGAACAGCAATACTGTCAAGTGAAGGCGTAAGTGCTTACTTCCTAGAAGAAACGCTACCATAAGTCATAAACTCATGGGGAAGTAATTAGAAATATTGCAAATTTCAGCCAACCTTGCTAGCTCCGGGCTTTCCGGTAACAACGGATCCGCGGTGCTTGGCGCGGATCAGGTGCAGGCTGGATTCGGCCTGGTCGGCACGACCTTCCGCATCTTCCAACTCATGTTGGTATCGTCTTACTCGCTGGAGGTTGGCCATCGTGACCGATTCCTGAATTTCACAGACTGCAGACCTATCCAATAAAGCCAAAAGTCTCAAAACGAACGGCTTCGGCAAGTTGTCTCTTTTGGATGTTCAACTTTTCTTGGAGACGATCGGCAGTATCCTGAGCCATGACGAAGTTCTTGTGCTCTTCATCAACGAGCTGTTGGATCTCCTTGATACGGCGATCCTTCTTGCGCAGAGCATTCTGCGTCTCCTTGTGTCTAGAAACATAAATTCATGAACTGCGCTCTTGACGAGAACTGGTCCCCGTCGCAAAAAAGCGTAAAAAAGAGACGCAAAGCGATAAACAAAGAGATGCATTGGCCTCACCTACGAGTCTCCTCATCAAGAGCAGTTTCAAGATCTCGGATGCGAGTCTCAAGCTTGGCAATAACTCGTTTTCCTCCGAGAAGTGCAGCGGCTTCGGCTTCCTGGATCTGTACTTGGAGCTGTTTCACCTGGAACACGTTCATTGTTCACCCCATTGAGATTTATTTGCAGTAAAGTTACTTGCCTGTTCCTCAAGAGATCTGCGAAGGGCATCGATCTTCATCGAGTGTTCCTGTTCCTCATGGAGTTGTTCAACAGCGCGGGCGGCATCGGCAAGAGCACGGTTGGCGCGCTCATCAGCAGCGTGCAATTCCTTGGTAACCTAAAAACCAAAGTCACTTCAATACTATCAAGTGTCATCGAAACTGCGGTATAAGCACACAATTAGACGCTGTTGCGTTGGATCAGAATAGTACGCATTTGGGAGAGACGCAGACGGGTAGAGGAATGAGAGAGAGACGCCGACAGCGCAATAGCGCTCTTTTCTGCGTGCGATAAATCGTCTGAACAAACCTCATCGAGATCGGCTTGGACAGTGGAAAGCTCAGTTTCGAGTTTGTTCTTGATCGCGGTAAGGTTGTTGTTGATGGCGGTAAGGTCGGCAATGCGTCCGTTGGCTTCTTCAAGGTCAATTTCGGCCTGTTTGCGAGCACGGATAGCGTTGTCGAGGGCAGTCTTGGCTTCTTCGAGTTCTGCCGAAAGTGCAGCAACCTAAAGAACGGACGTTTCAATCGGCTAATCATAGTTAATTGTGTAGTATTGGTTTTCTAGGAATGCGAGAACATGCGTCAGTTGGCGCATGAGCCGCCCACATCGTACGTAAACTATGAAGCACAAAAACAAGCGCGCGTTGATGTTACACAAAACGTTGGTGTAGCGAAAGTCTGCATTAGTCATAGTCTTAAGTACTAGTACTGCCTTCTTATCTAAAAACTCAATTATTCGGAAATTGTCGTAGAGTTGGTAACCTAGCGCGCGTATTGCACAGCACACGCGCTACTTTACGACTCGCAGGTTAAAAACACGTTAATTTGATGAGATTTCTACTTGATTTCCTTCTCTTTTAGTTTGAATGGATATGTATAGTTGATAGTACACATTTTCACAACTTTTTTCTCGCTAGAAAAGCTTTTACTGGCCAGTTACTAATGAGGTGTCGTCGGTTGCCGCGCGCAGTGTGCAACCTCACAAATTGAGTCACAGATGACTCCTGCACACTCACCTTACGTTGAGCAAGAGCGTATTGGTCAAGGACTTGCTGAAGTTGACGTTGAGTGTCCTCAAGAGATGCTTGTAAGATCTTGAGCTGCTCGGATTGTTTCTTGAT